AATAATCAAACGGACATGAGGCTAACCCAGTGTAAAGTCCTAATGGATAGGGGCTAGTATGCAAAAGATAGCAAAGAAAATGGTCGAGCCGGCCGATGCATGAGCCGAAAGGCCTAACTAATGAGAAAACAACCTTCCTTTAGAAGGATAAGTGGCCAGTGTTGAAAGCCAATTGGACGAGTACCATGAGGCCTCGACTTATTACTAAAGACCGCAAGCGACAACAAATTTCTAAAGCCTAATGCAATTAGGCCGATTAGGCCCTCCATGAATTCAAGATGCATACTTAGTGTTCGACCCTCTATGTAAGCATTCATTGCTCACAAGATAGCTTCAAGGTCGGGTATCGTTACAATATAATCAAGTTCATAATTGAAAAAAGAAGAAAGCCTATCAAAATAAGATAGGGCAGCTCCTTCTAGTTTTTGAACGGCCTAATCACTATACCAAATGCTAAGACGTCACATTTTATTCAAAGACAAGCCACCCCATTGGGGCAATAAGGAAAGACTAAAGTCCAAACATTCCTTATTGAGTAGCCACTCCCTGAAATTAAGGACAAAGGTCCCTTAGTATAAGGCTTTGGCCCAATAAGCGTATTACTACCTTCTGATAAGCCTCCCTTAATAGGGCAATGTACAGATCTTTATATGGTTCGAGTGTACATTGAATGGCTCCTTCATCCGAACAAATACAGAAAACTCTAGAAGAGGTTGAGCTGTTCACACAGCACCCTTCCAAGTCTGAGTAAGACTTACCATATAAAAGAGTAAAATGGCACAAATGCCAAGCTCCACTGCAAGGAGAAATCCAAGATGGAAGATACACATGGCAACATTGCCAAGTATAATTTCCAATACAATGGTATAACACCGAGTATAATTCCGAAGATTTGCTCGGCAAAACACATTATATAGCTTAAACTCCAAAATATAGGAATTCTAAGCCTATGCGCCAAAAAGAATTCTGAAAGCAAGTGACAGATGGTCAACTTTCGCCCCAACTAAGTCCGAGCCCAATTGAGTCATAAGTGACAAGGGCATGGGACGAAACTTCTTGTTAATATGACTTGGAAGTTATTGAGAATTGGCCCTCTCAAAGGTTAGTTCAAACAACTAAAAAATCGTTGGACGCCGAGAAAAGATAAAGGAAAATCCATCCCACCATAAAGACGAGACTAAGAATCTCGGCAAAATGTTATATCTAATTCGGCACAGACACGAGGCAAAGCCCCTCGGCAAGTGTTAAATGTTTCTCGGCATTTCCTAGTCTAAGTTAATTGAAAGCTTCTAGACTATATGTCGAATGAATGCAAAAGAAGCATCTAAGCCTAATTGGCCATTAAAGAAAAAATGTCTAAGCCTAGCTAGGTCCAAAATAATCCTTAAAAAGGATAGACCGAATAGGGCAAACCTCATGAATGGGAGGAATTGAAAAAGCTTAATAGCTAATCAAACCTTGTAAGAAAGGTACTTTAAGTAACCCATTAGTCGTAAGACATTCTAAGTGGGCTTAAAAGCATAATGATCGACATCTGTCTAGTTCAAGGTCAATCATTATTATGATTGATTAACTTAGAAAATATCATACCGGCCAAGGTATAAAAATTTTCCAAGTTAATCAAACCTTTTTTTTAATTGAACTAGACAAGATGTCGAATTCAAAGAAGTTATAAATTCATTTTCGAGAGGTATAATCCCTCTTGGGAAGAGAAATTACCCCTCTCGAGGGGCTATGTTTCGGGGTATTTTTACCCCCTTTTTATAGACAAATGAGAGGCTAACAAATGGCCCAATAATAAGCCGACACGTGACATCCTGCTCAGCTAAATAAAGGCTAATAAGAGCATGACACGTGGCCTTAAGAGAGATATCAGAAAAAGAGGGGCTCAAAGCCCATTAAGGAAACATGCCTAGCATGAAGGAAACCCTAATACACGTGTCAACCACGTATAGGGCAGCCAATCTTCCTAGGTTATGAAACCCTAGGAGCATGATCTCCCACTTCCCTATAAATACCCCATCATTTCATGATGGAAGAAAAACACACAATTCCCAAAGGCACAATGCCCAAAATATGCTCTCACTTCTCTCTACTTTCTCTCTCTAAAATTCCGTTTTCTGGTCACTAACTTGATCGTCGGAGGCGGATCTCCGGTACACCAGAGATCCGTTGTTTTGCAGGTGTTCGGGCAGTACGAGTGTTGCATCCCGGATCTGTCTCCCTCGGGAATCCATACCCCCCTTTCGGGTTATCCAAAAAATGCCCGAAACAATTCCTAATTACATTAGGAATGATAAATCATATTAGGCCCTCCCCTAGATCATTGGGCTGCATATAAGGCTCAAACCGGGTCCAGTTCAGTAAATTGGCCATAACTTCCTCAATATTCATCGAAATTGGGCTTATAATATATCGTTGGAAAGCTCTTGTCAAGCCCCATCCAACTACACTACTATTGGACCCATATCATGGACCAACCAAACTGGATTGGCTGTTTTATTTAAAATAAGTTTTCAAAAACAGAGAGAAGAGAAAATAAATTAAAACTATCCGCAACACTAGACTTTCTACACTTTCGCTTTATTCGATTATGATTCGACGTGAAAGGTACTCATCACTGGGTTTGGTTTCGGGGAGTCACATTTGGGTGTCTACAGAACCGAATCCGACTTGAACCCGAGAATTACCCGACCTGATTATAATCCGCAAATTATTGACTTGAACCGAACCCGACTCAAACCTGAGAATGACTCGACCTGATTCTAACTCGCAAATTATTGACTTGAAATGAACCCGACTCGAACCCGAGAATTACCCTAACCCGTGAAAACCCGAATTAAACCCGGCCTATTGTTCACCCAAATCGAATGTAACCCGACCCAAACCCGATAAGAAGTATGACCTGACTCAAGCATGACCCAACCCAAACTCGACTGGCATAGGTTATGTAATTACTCCGAATTAACTCGACTCGAGTTGACCTGACCCACTCTTACTCGACCCAAATTCAACCCGTTTACCTGAATTGACAGCTCTACATATTACTATAAATATTATTGATCTAATGTGATCTAATATGATTCTAACCAGTGTAAATACATTAATTCCAATTTGTCATCCTACCACTAGTTTATGTTTGGTGACCACGTGAAGATGTGTAAATTACTAGAATTGAGTGAATGACGAATATTTAGAGAGATTACACTTTTAGTAAAGTTGATTGCATCCCCAAAAATATATCTGACCATGGAAGATTTGCTGCAAAATGCATGAAAATAGTTTTTGTTTTTTTATTTGTTGTCAATGAGAATCTTCAATAATTAAATTTATTGAAATTATAAACTTATGATCTTCACAACGATTAGGTATCTTTTTTGGTATGAAAAATTATCTTCCAATAACAATAATAGTTAAGATGCTTAATTTTGCACTCCCATTTCATCTTGGAATTGATTCTCCACCAAATTGGTGTTAAAACAGATTTTTTTTTTTAATCTTTAAATACACTTTAAAATGATTGTTAAAGATTCTTTGAAATAATATACTTCATATGACGTAATACTCTGTATTAAGTATGAAGTATTTAGTTATTTACTATGAAATTCGAACTCATACTTTTGTCTATCTAAGAAGTATTAACTTCTAAATCAACAACTTATATATTGACATGCGACGCGTACTATATGTATATATGAGTGTATATAATCTCTACTCCGTACATTGATTTCACACGCGTGACTGTTGTGAAGCTAACTATTGACTAAAACATTACAATATTTACATAAGCTAATTTTCTACACAGAAAGAATGTATTTGAACCTGATTACGTGGTTGGGATAAAAGTAATAAAACATGAACCACACTAGTAGTAACTACTATGAAATATGCTCAACTAGAATTTTCCAAAAGATAGGAGGAGCCAGAAATTTCCTACAAAGATCATATTCTTGGTGAATTTTCATCGAGTTTTAATTAGTCGTCATTCTCTTATACTTTTTCTTGGTTGCATTTTTTGACCATCTCTGTTTAGCTTCTAGATTTTTTTTAAAGGGGCTTGCTTGTATTATTCAGAATTGGTTGGTTTAGGTACCAAAGTTATGATGGTCATGTACTAATTAATGTATTTAAGGGGAAAAAATCAATTTTGAGAGTCATTAAATGGAAAATTATATCTGTATAACATCTCAAAAAAGATTTTTGGTCAGGTATTGTCTAATGTGATCCTAATAATTCGGTGGTTGGATTTATCAATTATTTGAGAATTGTAGTTTCCAGTGCATCATTGCATACTCACCTATGACAGCCAGCTAATCCCATGGTCTCTTGTCTACATTTTTCCTTTTTATTCAAAAAAAAATAAATTCTAATTAGATTATTTTCAGTTCAGTTCAGTTCGGTTTGATTCACTTCAGCTCTAATAAGTTCAGTTCAGTTCCTAATTTCCTTCTTTCATAAAATATTCAGTTCAGTTAAGTTCAATTCAGCTTTAATAAGTTCAGTTCAGCTCATTTGAATTAATGAGATTATGAAAATAGGCCCTAAATGCTAGAAATAAACATACTACCTCCGTTACAGATTATGTGCAACGATTAGACATTTTCCCTCTCTGCTTTATGTCAAATCGTTGCACATAACCTGTAACGGAGGTAATATAATAAAAAGACGGAAGGAGTACCATATTTTGTACTCCGTATATAGAGATCTGGTGCCAACTGAACAGTGAAAAGAGCCTCTAGGTAGTCGAGGCACACCAACTATCAAGGTTTAATCTCATCTTTGATTCCTCTTTAATCACAATACTGTAGTTTAATGGTGTAAATTTATCATATAATTATCAATTGACAGTTATTCAAAAGCAATTGATTACAGCAATTAATCTTCCTGTTTTCAAGTATAATTAAGATTATAAGAGACTACGGCTCCATTTTTCCAAATTATTTCAGACAAAATGAATTAATAAAATAAAACCTATCATAAGAAATTGCAGAAGGAAATTATAATAGACAAGAGAGCGAGCATATTATTCATAATTCTTACATTAATTTAAATCCGTTGCGGAGAACAAGTTCATACAAAAGGCGCCTGTAAAAAAAAGGCTTTGGCAAAACTAATGAAAAAACAATCTCACCTATTGAAGATTGTAATGGCAGCTACTGCTGCCACAGCCAAAGCCCCCTACGAAACAAGGCACCATACTTCGAACTTACAAAAGCAACTGTAAACAACTAGCAACACCCACCAGTGACCAACACCCACTACCATGAGCGGAACATAAACCACTCGGACATGGAGGACTTGGTAAAACCGATACACAGACTTGAAAAAACACTTCTAAAGGTTCAGAACTCAGCTCTAAAGTAGTCTAAAGCCAAGCTAAAATATTTTTTTTCTTTTTTGTAATTTTTTTTTTTTTTTTTTTTGGAATGAAGGTCCAGAAACCCAGCAAAAGATAGACAAAGGCCAAACCCTCCAAATCCAGAGACCAGTAACTGTAATCTCAGGCATCAACGACCGCTCAAGAATAAATTCTTGAAACAGATTTCCCATATTGAGGAAACCTGTAAAAAAAGGGGTATAAAATCGATCGTTTTCCTCCTGGAAAAAGAGCCAAGTCTCTGGCAAAAGGTAAGCCCATTTTGAACTGATGGACCCAAAAAACTTAAACGAACATTAACTATTCACGATTTCTGCTGATGTACTTCTGAGGCTACTTGAATTCACTGAAGAGCATACATAAGCTTCCCACTTAGGAAAGGATATCACACCTGAAAAGCCGCTGCACGAGCATGTCGACAACAGTGCTGCTGATTGAGTTGCAGTTCTGAAGATTCAGCCCCATGAGAGACTGACCCAACTTCACCAAGAATGGCAAGCACTTGTCTGAGAGCATTGAGCACCCAGATAAAGAGAGGATCTGCAAGCACAGCTGCTTTGACCGAGCCAAAGATGCAACACCAAAATCAGTAATGGCACACTTGGAAAGATCAAGTTCATTGAGCAGAAGGCAATCGTCAGCAATAGCCACCAATCCTGCATCAGTCACTTTTCCACATCCTTCAAGGTTCAACACCTCCAGGGTTCCACCATGGAATTTTGCCAGTGCAATGACAACGTTGTCAGTCACATTAACACAGCCAGTGAGACCAACCTTCACAAGGCCAGCGCCAGCATCACAGCTCTCAATGAGAGAGAGAAGGCCAGCATCGGTGATACAGGGAAGCCCATTGAAATTGATACATTGCAATTGAGGACACAGCTTTGCCAACATGGCCAAGGTCGTGTCTCCAAGCCCAGGGCAGTTACTAACTGTAACAGATCGAAGTGGTGTGGATTTGATTGGAAGGGGGAATCCCAAAATCATATCCTTGAATCCAAAGCAGCTAGACAAAGTAAGAGCCTTCAACTTAGGACCACAGTTAAAAAGGAGACCAAAAAACCCAATTTGGGTAATCCTGTGGCACTCTTCAAGTTGTAGGCTCTCAAGGGATCTTGCAGCTTTGGCAAAAGATACCAATCCGTTATCAGAAATGAAAGCACACTTCTTCAGAACAAATTGTTTCAAATTAGGACAACCTTTTCCAACAGCTTCAACTGCTACATCTGTGACTCCACGGCATGAGGAAATGGTAAATGACCTGAGATGCTGAAGACCCTCAGCGTTACCCATGACCCAGAAACCCTTTTCATTCACATTCTGAAGGTTGGTCAAAACAAGATCAGTAATGGCCTTTCCATAGTGGCCAACAACAGCAAGAGAAAGATCAGTTACATTCAACCCCTGTAGCTTCAACTTAGTTATGGAGAAAGATGCTGATGCCATCAAACTCGCAACACCCTGATCACCGACAAGTGGGCAGTCCTTGATGGTAACTGACTTAAGGTTAGGACAGAACAGTCCAATTGATTTCACACCTTCGTTACCAATATACTGACAACCCTCAATACTCAACGAGGTCAAAGTTGGACAATTCTTGGCAATGGCGAGCAAGGCCTTGTTAGTGATTGATGGGCAATTGCAAAGGTCAAGTTTCTCAAGGCGGTGGCATCTGTTGGCAATCTCAATAAGGCCTTCATCTCCAATGGAAGAAATGTTCCAAAGAGATAAACTCTTTAGAGATGGGCAGCATCGAGCAACAGCCTTCAAACCAAGGTCTGTAACTCCACGGACGGAATTGTTTCCCCTGATCATGAGCTTGCCCAAACCACCACGAGCAGCACTTCCTACAGCAACAGCTGCAAGTCTAACATCGGTGGCTTTCTTACCCTCCAAACTCCTGGTAAGAAATCCATCGTTCTCGTTCTCCTCAGCTTCATCAGCAGCAACCATATTTTTGTTGCATAGATCCTCACTAGGGATGCTGCTCAAAAGCATAAGCCATCGCTTTGAAACGCCGGCACAAGAACTCCTTTCCTGGTCCCCAGACAAACGTCTGAAGATCTCGAACAAGCACTCGTCTGGGAGGACATCAAGAGAGACCTGCTTCTTCTGTTCTACACTCTCTCCTGTTACAATAGGGGCACTGATCCTAGCCCTTTTGTTAGGGAAGTAAACATCCACATGGTTGGCAATACCAAGGGACAAAAAGCTACCAGCTTCCTTGGGGTTTGAGTATATTGATCCCCCATGGTAAAATTCCTCACTTCCTGAAAATCCAAATAACCAAAACAAATTCAGTATATGATTCCACCAACATCACTTGATCCCTTAGCTAATTAAACTAACCATCAAATTACCCACATCATCCAAATTCAAGAGATCAACAACAATTCATGATTAAACTAAAAATTATAATACTGAATCACTCATATATTATCATGAATATCTACAGTGTTCTGCATAAATTCGAGGCCTTAACATACAGATCAAATGCCTATGTTCATAAACTCAAATCAATTTTACCCAAATTTAGCCTAATCCAACAAAACCCAGATGCCAAAAATAAATAAAATAAGAACCACCACTTCAAATTCATGCAACAAAAATTGATAAGCCAAATCATACCAAACCCTAATTAGCTCTAATTGAAACAGATTAAGTTAACCCCATATGCCAAAACTACCTGAAATTTTCAGTAACTAAATATCCAACAAAACCCAGATGCCAAATTTCCTCAAGCAACCCAATCATATATAAAAACCCAATCATACAAACCCTAATTAACTCTAAACAAAACATGGCAAAAGCACCCACATGAAATTAAATAAATCAATACAATAAAATCATAAAATTTACAGATATGAAAGACAAGGATCCAAAACATACCACTGAAATCGAAGATCTGAGACATGTTGAAAGCTGATTAAAAACCTCGGAGAGGCAAAAAAGGGGAGAGCTAGCCGAGTAAAAGAAGCCACCCAGATCCTCAACAGCTCCAAAAATCGAGATTATGAAGACAAAAACAACAAAGATGGATGAAAATTGAAGGTCTGCAAAATTCATGAGATGGGAAAGTAGAGCGTGAAAGAGAAAACCCTATTGAAAATAGGGCAAAAAAGGGGAAATTGGGGCGAAAGGAAAGAGGGGAAGGGGGAATGAATGAAACGAACGAACAATGAGAAAAGGTTTGGTGCTGTGGATATGTTTTTATCTTTAGATGTTGTGAATGTATTAAGGTGGGTCCAACAAAAATAATGTAATTGATTATTTGATTTTATATTATAAGGTTATTAATAATAGGTGGGAAAATGCATGAATATGATTCATATACAAGGAATTTGGAAGGTGTGGGGGATAGATGACATGCAAATGCAATGAATCTCACTCTAAAACTTGTATTCTTTGCTCCCATTCCTAAGTTATCACATAAACACCCACTTGTCTAAAATACCCTTTTATTTGGGATTCAAAACTTGGGTTTGGTATAAGGTGTATTCTTTTTTCCCAAGGTAGCCTTTTTTTTTTTTTTTGTATGGTGATGGTAGTGTTTCTTTTTTTAGCCTCGTATAGTGTACGTAGTCGTTACTCGTTAGGGTTATGTACGTGTCCAATTTTCGTTTGTTTGAAACTGTTACTTGTTACAGTGAGAACTGAGAAGTATGTCTGCCTAATGATGTGTTGTCATTAGGGATGTGTGTAGTGTTTTCCTATAAATATTAGGTCATATTTGGAAAAATTTCTTCAAAATTATTAATCACTTACGCTCCTTTGTCAAAAAAACTGCTTCATATTGGTTATCATGAGTCTATGTTCAATTCACCTTATTATAGCAATTTATTGCTTATAACCTTATTAATGTCAAACCAAATCAATGATCTACTATAACATACCAAAGTTGATGATAATGAATTGATATTCTTATTTATGTTTTGATTGTCAAATATTTTTTTAGTTTTTGTATCACACGGAGTATAAAATCAGAAGTACAAAAATTTAGGTATATAGAAAATACACATAAAAGATAATTTATCAAGACCAACCCATTTAATTAAGTTGGAAAATGTTTGTATATATATTTTTTAAATCAAGATCTCAACCTCAATAGATTTCAATATTTTCTAAACATTTTTTTAGTCATTGTGTTTAAAACTGAGTTTTGGTGGAATTTTTATAAATACTAGGGCGGCTAATGTACGCGCCACAGCTAGTCATACCTGTAAAGGTTTTTTGTTTTGACTTTATGTCACACTTTTAATTATATATTGCCATCATTAATAGAGGAAAATACGTAAACTAGTATTTTTAGCGTAAATGTTTGCACACTATTCATAAGAGTAAAAAATAGGCAGTCAACATTAATGACGACAAATAAGTAAATAAACATATTAAGAGGCATAGTTGTGTCATCAATATTCATAAATTATCGAACAAAGATATTCAAGGTAAATACTTTGTATGTAAATAAGTATTTTAAGGGGTTAGTTATTGTCTCAATACTATTCATAAATGTAACAAATACTTCTTATTATATAATAGTAAATATGTAAATAAACATTTTAAGGGGCATTATTATCTCAACACAATTCATAAGTGGTTAGCCATACTTTTTAAAAAGTATGGATTTACATAGTATAAAATTTAATTAAATAGATAGATAGTGTTATTACATCAGATAGTGTAATGGTACATTATATTTTTCTAATAATGCAAATAAAAATAGTACTATATTATGCAAAATACAAGTTAGGATCACGCTCATCACCTAGCTAGGAGATAGGTCTATATTACAAGTCTAACAAGGTTCCAACCCAAAAGTACATGACAATAATACTGTGATAGCCGCTTAGTCTTATAAAGTGGTCCTTTAATTTCATCACTTGTGATATTTTGGCCAGAGCACACTTTCATACTCCCCCTCATCGCATGGTTAAGTTGGCATAATGAACTTAAGTCGTTAAGGGCTAGTTCTCTTCAATTTAAGTTCAGTTCAATTCAGCTTCAATCAGTTCAGTGCAATTCAATTATTAATTTCTTTCTCTTATAAACAATTCAGTTCAGCTTCAATCGGTTCAGTTCAGCATAATTTGGTAAATTAGAATATACCCCAAAGCTCCCAAACAATGTCTAGAGATGAATCAAAGAAAATGTTTTCTGAAGCCTAATCACATTTTTACAATATACAACTGCATGTACGTCTCAAACTCATATATGCATATAATATACCTCAAGTTTAAACACTAAGGTCATCATTTTTTAGTTCATTTGTTTTTACTTATTTCAGATGTTAAAATCAGATTAAAACTTAAAAGGTAAGTTCAAATCAGGAAAAATAAGCTATGACATACTTTATCGTTTTATGTGTGGTTTTTTTAAATATCTTTAGTTATGTAATTATTATTATTATTATTATTTTTTTTGAAAATTTCATATTTATAAAATGGATTTTGCTAACAAGTGCCCTGGGGCGTTAGATAACTATTCAATATATTAGTTAAAATAGTAATATTAAATTTTCAATATATAACAAAATCACGCGTCGATCAGTATAATTAATGTAATTTTACTTTAATATTTTCATATTGAGTTCTCTTATCTAACGCCCTGGGGACGCTAGGATCGTTAACTTTTTCCTAATAAAATACACATTACTATTTACTACAAATCTACCAAGACCCAGGTTGATACATACTAGTATATTTTGTTTTATAGATTATCAAACACATAAGATCAAAGTTTAGTCAAATTAGACAATCTGATCATATCATATCATACTAGCCTACTAGGTCACATCATATTAGACCATATAAATTTAAATCAAATCAAATAATAAGCAATAATAAGGTGAACTAAACAAGCACTAAATAATAATTGTGACATTAATGTGTGGTAATTACTGTATTGGTAATATTCTAACTAGGGCATCTCTTTCGACCTAAACATGTCTTATTGACAATAATATGATCTTGTAAGAAATGTAATGCACATCAGCATATATGATGGAACTAATTGTCTCATATTGAAGAAAATAGGGAAAGGATGACCAACTTTGCACTCTATTACATAACCAATTGATTACTTATTGTATTAATTACATATTACTAAATAAATATAAATATATGATGAAATTATATTAATAAAGCCTACATATAATCAGACTCGATCCCATAATCTCATTAAATATAGACTTTTGAATGACCTAGCTAGTGAAATAAATCAATATTCGTCACAAAAATATCTACAAAAGGATCACTAGCTATAGGAACGACAAATGTATAATCCATTCACTTATCAGAGTGCAAATAGACATATGATGCATAGTATTTGAATAATAATGAATACAATATGGACTATATAAAGAGACTAGCCAAATGGAATATATCTAGAAAAAAGTTAGAAGAAAAAAGTCACCTATTTCATTTTACTAGGGTATTATTAAGATAAGACCGTGTTTATAAAGAAAGTAAACAAGAGGCAAAGAGACCAGAATTGACATTGAAATTTGACAATTATAAGATTCATTGCATACTTTTTAATTAATTCATTACCAACTAATATAATATGTAATGTTATTTATACACTTGCCCTCTTGAATTTGTTGAATTCTTGACCGAATTTAAACGCGGCTACACTATATAATATGAACCTGGTCCAAGTCATCTAGCAACTTCCTCATGTTTTTTATTTTCTGCTTTTAATTAAACTATACTCTACTAATAATTTTTTTAATTCAAATAGTTTTAATTAATTTAATTTAATCTTTTAATCTAAATTATTTTTTAATAATAATAAACGTTATTAAACCGTCCATTTTGAGATCCACGTGCACGAACACACACACTCTCTCTCCTTTCTCTTTCCTAGGAATAGTATTTTACTCAAAATTCCTTTCACCTGAATAATTTTTGTTTAATACATTAATTTGATTTTCCAGTTCATATACAAGTTGGAAATTAGGTTACTATATGGTAATATAAAGTTGATAAAAATAATCAGATCAAGTTGGTCTAAAAAACATAGATGATTATTAGCAAGTACATTCTCTTATGTCCTCAAGATTATGAATCTAGCAATTTTCACATGCCAAAGCTGGCAAATATATCATGCAATGCTTTTATTAGCTAGGTTGGCTTACTCCTTTAATCAACCTGGTTTTAAATATTAAGGTACTTATATAGTTAACTGGTCCCGAAAAAATGGAATACTCATTTACTCGTACTATGAATGTATAGTTGTATACGTATTTTTCTGTGTAATTACGTGTCTAGAATATTATTTGTACTCCCTCCATTTTTTAGTATTTGCTCCATTTCTCTTGGACACGTATGCCGATGCTAATCTTTGATCACTTATATCTTTAATTATCAATAAGTATAAATTCTAACAATTGAAAATTAATAATCTATTCATTGAGATGATTCCGACAAGTACCCACAAGACTATATTTTTTTCTTATGTATAAGTCACAAACATTAGTCAAATTAGGACAAATGAATAGTGCTAAAAATAGAAATGAAGCAAGTATTTAAAATCGGAGGTAAGATAGAAGCATATCGAAGTTCGAATCCTATCAAGTGAGAGTAATTGGGATAGAGATTTCCTTACCCTCTCCCCCCTAGGGCCCCTACCCTCAAGTGTCTGGTCCCCGCAAATACTGGATCAAAAAAACCGTAAGGTTTGAGGTTTGCTGTCCAATCTACCACTTAAAAAAAAAAAAAAAAAAAAAAGTTAGAACACACAAGTTGCCTTTAATGTGCAAATGGTTTATTCTTGAGCATGATAGAACCAAGGAGGCAAAAATATTGCATGCACTTATACAGTTATACCTTTTGAGTGTTATCCGATATAACTTCAATTATACCTTGCAAAATACAACAGGTTGTATAGCAAAAAAATGTTCTAAAATTGAGAAAAGGTCTCTTTTAAGCTATTGCCATTACAATTTTAATTTCTACCTTATAGTTTTTACTTGTTTCGTGTATTTTCAAAATAAATCTTATTACTCCTATATTTTAAACTTTTTGTTTTATTTCCTTTAATGCATTTATACGTTAAATCCCTTTATTAAGTGTTTACTAAGGGACGTAAAATACTCTAAGAAATAATCCTAGAAATACTCCGTATTTTTTCCCCTAAAGGATCCAACTCATATCTGCGTAAGTGGCACGACAAGTCTTCTTAAACTCTCTCTCTCTCTCTTTCTCTATCTCTAATTACTAGTTTTGATTCTTTGCACCTAACTAATCTGGGTCTCTGAAGATCAATTGATTGATTAAGATACCCAAATTGGATTTCTCTAATTAATTAATTAATCATTATTATATGTTGTACCGCACCTACTCGTATATATGATTAAATACACAACATAACATATTGTCGTAATTGAGGTGATATCTAGGTATGAGATCGAATCTCGTCTAAACATACAATACTAATTGTATATGTTAACGTGTTTATAACGTAACGAGATTTTTTTTGGACTCTAAGTCCGGGACCTTAATAGAGTGGGTTTTTTTTTTTTTTTTTTTGGGTGGGGGGGGGGGGGGGTTAGAATTATGGAATTTGATGGACTTAAATGAAAATGCATGCACGATCAAATTAACATTAGATTAGCTTAATTTTTTTATATTAATGTTCCATAAATCCTCTATCTTAACTTATTTTATGGATTTATTAAATTACAGCAAACAGTTGAACATTCTAATGGCTAATGCACGGATCACCATTCTATTGTAGTGCTAGCCAATTACACTACTAAACCAGTTTGCAAAACTTCTAAATTCTCTTAATGTGATTTATATAATTATGATCAAAATTTGGGGGTAATATAATATCTTATTAGTGCAGAAATAATGTTTAATAAGCCATGATGAATTAAAGTACTATAATAATTTAATTAACTTAGATATACATATATGGATAGGGGATTAGGGACTATGTCTTCTCTTGTAATTTTTTTTTTCATAAAATCTCAAACCTATACATGTATAATGTGCTAGTTGCTCTTAAATTGCATATACAAGAAGATTAAAGAGGAAAGCTTTAACAATAATAAATTAAATGTTAGAGGATCATCGCTCTTGATACCAAAAAACTAGAACTAATTGTTGAAGCCCATGAATATATGTTATACTCTATCATTAAATACCATTTTACGTGAGATTTTTCATAATTATAATGCTTTAAGGGTTTCATATAATAACCATATTGAAAGAAAAATGATAAATACAGCTTTGCATATAAGTACTCTAGCTTAAATAAGAATGAACATATCATTAATAAATACTCCGTACTTAACAATGTGGAATTGTTTTCATTGATTTCTGACCTAATTCTAATACACGGAGGGAGTATAAGCCCTAATTAAGAGCTTACTTGTATACATTATACTTTATCATAATATCAGTATTAAAAACGTGATCTATTTTACCTTTCATCTTGCGTTGTTGTCACGGTACTAGAGTACAATCTACCTTCTTGTATCGAAACATGCAACAAAATTACAAAATTATGCCTTGTTGGTGGCAATAATTAGTCAATACGAGTAACACACACAAGCTAAATACTACTCCATAAACCTTCAAACTTGCGATTACAAGTGTGACAAAGTGGGCACTATAGAAAGAAAATGACTTGATATAATTAAACATTATGAAGCAAAAGAAAAGGGATCGGATTATCAACGTTGAATTCATTGATAATATTATAAAGTTGTATACTCTTACTGTCGTACATTATTGAATGCAATGCGGCGTGGGGGCTTTTGATTTTTAATGTACTTATAAATAGGGGTGTACACCGGTCCAAAACCGGACCGGACCTGGACCGGACCTGTTTGGACCGGGGATCTGAATTGGGTAATTATGAGGACCGGGGATCGGACCTGAATTAACAGGTCCGGTTCCGGGCCAGACCTGAAAAATCAGGTCCGGTCCGGGTTTGGACCTGAATGGACCTGTTTTGTGTCTTTTTCGTTTTTTTTTTTAATACAAAACCTGTTGGACCTGCATATGGACCTGCATATGGACCTGTTTTGTGATTTTTAGACCTGTTGCATAATTTAATAATTACATACAAACCAAAATTATCAATTACAAAACTACATAAAGTCTATAAAGTCCCGATTCTCAAACACCAAAAATACAAATGAGTCCACCGAAAATACAAATAAGTCCACGAAAACTCATAAAATTACATAAATTCTCTTAAGTCTCAACTCTCAAGTACTAGAAATACATAAATTCTCCAACGAGTTGTTTTCCCTTTGATCGCGTGATTCACACTAATGAGTCCACAAAAACAACTTCATCGTCTACATCGTTAGATTCACCACGTTGCACCTCTAAATAAAATACAATATAGAATATATTAATGATTGATAACAATGAAATAATAAATTTGGTGTAACAAAATTTCAAATACATAAAATTATTACTACCTTTCTCTATTTCCTCTAACTCTTTCAAATTTTCTTCCACATCAACAATTGGCACTTCCTTAGCTCTAAGCCAATCTTGTGTGCAAAGTAACGCTTGAACCATCTTCAATACAAAAATATTACACAAATATGTATAAACAAAGTCATATTAAGATATAAACAAACTTGATTTTATAAAATAAAAAGATAACGATGCATTACCTTAGGAGTTAAAGAACTCCGAAATGGATCTAGAGTACGACCTCCCGTACTAAAAGCAGATTCCGATGCAACGATCGACAATGGGATGGCTAGTATGTCACGTGCCATGCGATTAAGAATCACATAACGCTGACCATTCTTACCCCACCATGTCAATGCATCTTGTTCTTCCTCCTCCGGCCCTAATTGATCATTTAAGTACCTATCCAACTCACTTATCGCATACCCACTTGTCCCCTTCAATCGTTTTGCTCTTTCTTTTAGTTTCCTCACATAATCGGAACCCACTCCTTTACTATTATCAATATCCATTGACATATTATCTCCACAATCTGGAATATTAGAAGTAGCATACATTTTTCTATATTCCTCAAATAAAGAGTAAGCGAACTCCTTCACATCATTAGCAAGTTTTGTACCCTTTTCCGGTCCATGCATATTCGTTAGTGTCAATTCAACAATGACCATCTTAGAGTGAGGGTCGAGAAGAAGAGCAACAAATGAACTTATTCATCTTATCCACATCCCCCCAATACTTATCAAACTTTTTTTTCATTGCAATGGCCATAGCTTGAAAATTCAAGTCCTCACTTTGTTCCCAATTATTCAACATATCATACATAGAAGCAATTTCTCCTAAACCTTTATTAGCTGTCACATAATGGGAATCAGAAATTCGTTTAGTTAACAGATAAAACCCCTCTAGAAACAAAACCAACCTCTCCACTTTTTCCCAATCTTCGGGTTCGGGAGGCCTTTCATTGTCATTCAAATCCTCTCCATCAGGAAGAGATAACCCACTAAAAACACGTCGAAACTTCAAAGCCGTTTCCAACATTATGTATGTGGAGTTCCAACGAGTGGGGACATCAAAGGATAAAGAAGATTTTGAATCTATGTTTGCTTTTTGCACAAGATCTTTGAATCTAAGTATTCTTGCAGGGGAATTCTTAACATATTTCACAGCATTTCTAACTCTATCAATGCACACACCATGTTCTCTAATACCATCCCACACAATTAAATTAATGATATGAGCAATGCATCTAACATGAAGATTTTTTTCCATCATTTATACATCCTGTTCTTCTAACCATTCTACTCAAGTGTGCACAAGCAACATCATTTGAAGAAGCATTATCAACAGTGACAGTAAAAAGTTTATCATCAATACCCCAATACTCTAAACATGCCTCAACTGCTTTTCCAATAGCCTCTCCTTTATGACTAGAAATTGGACAAAAATTTATGATCTTTTTATTCAATTTCCAGTCATTATCAATGAAATGAGCTGTAAGACACATATAATTAATTCTTTGTATTGAAGTCCAAGTATCAGTGGTCACAGAAATTCTTTGACATGTCTTAAACATTTCTCTCAATTTCTCTTTTTCACTATAATACAACTTTAAACAATCACGAGCAATGGTAACACGAGATGGAATGTGAAATTGTGGACATGCAACTTGCACAAAGTGCCTAAAACCGGGTTTTTCCACATGCTTAAATGGTAACTCATCAACAATAATCATGTGAATCAATGCCTCTCTAACATCATTCAAGTTAATAATCCTACTCCCACACTTTAATTCACTACTCTCATGTTCTTGATCAAAATACAATTTAGTTTGCTTTTCTTTGCCCTTTTCTTTTTCTATATTAATAGGATTACCGAGACATGATTCTGCATGGTTTTTAACATTTTTTGAACCATTAAGATTACCATCAGCAGCAAAAGTTTAAGGACAGAACTTACATTCAGCTCGTAGTTTTCCATTCTCGACGTACTCTAAGTAATATTTCCAATACTCAGCTTTCCTCTTACTTTTTCTGTTCCATATATATTCCCGCCCCGCTTTTAGCTTCTTATCAGGAGGCAAAGTAGATTGCAATTCTTCCATATCCTTTTCAGAAAGTGGCTGTTGATTAGGGGATTTTGCTCCCACCAATCGGAATGCGCCACGTGGGCCAATCAGGTCCTGCCAAGTGTCCCCCAGTTGGAACTGTCAGGGCTTGCCACGTGGCACGCGCTTATTCGTCCACCTTGGACCTATTATGTCATGACACGTGGCATACTCCATGCCTAATGGAGAAACCGGCCACCCAGGCCCAACTTCCGAGGGAAGCCCAATCAGCCCTAGGTTAACCTAAACCTAGGATTGGCACGTTTCCCAAGGTTATAAATACCTCCCTTAATCCTCATTAAGGGGGGATTACACGGATTACAGAGATAATAGGCTGATCACGCTAACGAAGCAGATTACGCTAAAAACTCACATTAAACACTCTCACCTAGAGAGACCCAATCACTTTAATTTCCGCATTAATTACTCCTTAATCAAGTACTAACTTGACCGTTGGAGGCGGAGCTCCCACCACCAGGAGTCTCCGTTGTTTTGCAGGTACAGGCGTCCGGTTCCAGTCTCGGAATTGTAACTCTCCCGCAGGACATCAGAAAACCCCGAAACAGTTGTGACGTTTGTTCAGAAAAAGAAGCAGACCGTTTGGATTGAGAGCTCTCCATCTACAATATAAGTAATTTTAAAGTAAGAATTATATACACATACCATTTTATAAAAAAATTTAAGAGCAACTTACATTGCAAGAATAAGAATCCGTGGTTCCTTGACTTCCTTCACTCCCTGCAAGAATAAAAACAAAAATAAGAACCCCTGAACTACACACAGGTTAGCCAACTTATTTAATCTTAATAATCTGAGTCCATACTTTTAGCAGCCTAGCAGGAATAAACACAAATTTTAAAGTATAAGTTAGCTTAAAAAGTGTCCATATATACACATTAGAAATATCAATACCAGGTAAATAGCGTATATGATACGGAGTATGAGTTAGTTTAATAAGTGCAAGTCCATTCATTATTCATTAGAAAACCAAACAATGATTAATATAATGAATCACTAGTTCACTACTCATCCAAAAAATTTCTCAACGATCAAAATTTATTACGAAGTAGTAAGTTACTAAGTTGTGCCGCATTATGTTGGATCAATTTGCAGGTTGGTATTATGGTATATATTCAACTATTCATAATACAATGTGAAATTGAATTGCCACATATAACATTCAAACACAGATACTAATAATGCATACAAATATACAATAGAGTACATACTTAGCAGTTTTCTGTATTATACAGAAATATTGATTGAGATAATGATGGATTTTTTTTTGTATTTCTCATCATCAAGACAAATTCAAGTGGAGACATATATTACCTTGAATAACTTATACTTTAGGAATAAACACAAATTTTCGCACTAAATTAATCTTAATAATCATAATAAACACAAAATTTCGAACTAAATTTCGCACTTGAACCCTAAACCCTAAACTTCTTAATTCTTATGAACCCTAAACTCAAAAAAACCAAAAAAAAAACAGAAATTCGAAAGAGATGAACTAAAAATAAGAAATTCAACATGCAAACATCAAACAATCATTAAAAGCAATTGAAAATTTGAAACAAGAATAAACATATAAATTCTCACACTTAAATTTATTATTTCGAATTAAAAATACCAAAATTATAAGCAAATACTTACCAGATATTATCGGTGTGCATCGCCTGAGAGAATGAGGGAGGTGTCGGCAGTGGGCGGTGGCCGGAGCGAGTTGGGACAGCCGCGTTGAGAAGTTGAGATTGAGGGAGGCTGAGAGAATCAGTTAGGGCTTAGGGAGTTAGGGTTAGAACTTAAAAATATGAAAGAGAAGTTTTAACGTCAGTTTCAATTTTTCAGAGTTTGGTTTTCTTTTTTTTTTTTTAATTACGATTTTCCCGGGTTTCAGGTCCGGACCTAAAAAACCCCGGGTTTGGACCGGGTCCGGACCGGGACCGGGAACCTGGATTTTTAAGAACCGGGACCGGACCTGAATCAACAGGTCCGGTCCGGTTCAGGTCGGTTCAGGTCCGGTTTCAGGTCCGGACCAATTTTTGTACACCCCTACTTATAAAAACGGCTTATTCGATTTTATCAAATCTGTATGTACATTATTGAAAAATTGGCTAGTATTTGCATCCATTAGTCACGGAGATAGTTGGTCCTTGAACTAACTATCCACGTCGGGCACATAATATATTATGTGTTTTATACATATACTAAAGTAATATTTGATGTAGTTAGTAGGAGTTTCACCTTATAACGTTAAGGTCACGTTTTCTAGTCTACCATCAGTTACAATTCTTGAGATGGAAACTAAAATATCCCTTATTGTAAGTGATTCAATACATACAGACTGTTAGAATTACGAATTTATTATAGACACACTAAACATTTTTCACAATTACGAGTTTGACAAAAAAAAATGAAACAAATTGAGATCGTACTACACCCACGTATACCTTCAAATACATTATAATGGGTGTTGGAACTCTTGGAAGGGGATGCAAGTTGTCATAAAAACTAATACATCTTCACACCAAAGAAATCGAGACTTTCTCTCATTGTCGAGAATATTAAGTTTTGACATTAAAATTTGTAAGAATCTTATCTACCCTCCATTCTCGAGCATATGAATGGGTTGTGGGCCGAAGCTTTGAACACTTCCACAATCGTAAGGGAACAAATTGCCCCACTATACGTCACTCAATTTCATTCATTTATTATGACCATATTTCTCACGGTTTTCTCCTTTTGTAGTTAAGTTAAAAAGTGCCTATTTTTATTTATGGTCATAATGTCTTACATGATACATACCATAACTTCACTTTATGAGATACTTCTGTTTGTACTTCTATTTTAGGAGAAATTCCGACCACTTTTCAGAATTGTATTATTATTATTATTATTATTAATTTAAGATAACTTGTGAATAAATTGAAACTTACCTTCGGCCTCCACTTTTCGCAACACATTGATTATCAATCATAGCAGTTACAGTTGGGCATCAATCAATTATAGAGAACTGCATAAAACATGAGATGAAACCAGCAATTTCAGTGGTAGACTGAAGCTAAGACCACCCACTTGTTGTAAATATAGGTAATAGTAACCCCTTGAATGCAAAATTCATAGTGGTGTCAAATATCAACTATTTTTTGTTACCTACACCTCCAACATGTAATGAAGCACTCTCCATCCCCCCTTTCCCTACCAAACCAATAAAGCAATTAAAAAAAAAAAAAAAGAATTTACACTTATTCAACACTTTAATTATACTTTAATGGGGTCAAATAAACAGAGTGTTATAAAATCTGTATTGTAATTATATTCAGATCGAAATCACTCAATAAGTACAATAGCAAAATGGGTATGTTAATTGGATTATGTACAAGCTTGTACGATTGTTAAAAGCCACAATGGATAATTATGTAAATAAATTTTGGTTGAAAATATCAAGTATAACCCACATATAGAGAATAGAGTAATGGACCGAGTTCACATAACATTAAATAAATAAAAACATTAATACACAAATTGTGAGATAAGAAGCAGAAGATTACAGTATACACTTCTTTGTTTCTTTATACTCCGTACTTGCCATGTTTCTTTTCACACTTACTAATTCATAGTTTTAATCAGTAATATCTTTAATTCTCACTATAAAAATGGTACTAAGTATTATAAAACGGAGAAAAAAATTGGACCACCAGGCGCCTATTCACAAAAAAAAAAACACCGACCTAACCTTTCTCTATTCATAATCTTTGCGTCATTCATGTAAAAATCTCGAATATATGCGGAGGAAACAAATTTCCAGCATATGCCAAACAGCCATTAAAATATCTCTAAAACTAATGGTAGAATTTGTATTATATGGTCAGATCTATACATCGTAGTACATTTTTTTTTAATAGCATACATCGTAGTACATTATGGTACTTTGTTGCTTCTTTGAAAGATCTCCAACTTAGCTACATTGAATGTGGATGTACCAGTGCATTTGTGCCTAACACATCCGGGTAACATATCGCTCATACGACTATGTTACCGAGTATTAACTTAGATTACAATCTTAATAGACTTTCGTGTATTAAGAAGATTTTTTTCTTAAAACGAGGGCGTTGGGATAATCAGCATTTGTTTGAGACGACAATGGGCATTTTCAGGAGGAAGAGGTGTAATTCATCACCATTAACGAGTCCTTACAGCAAGTTACGGAGTATAATCAGGGACAAGATAGCAAAACTGGTGAAATGGTAGCAAAATTAGGCATGAAACCACTTATAGAATATTTTTTCATGATAACAAGGTGTCCTGTGTCTTTACAAACCAATAAAATTGAAATTTTATGTTCTGCAAAACATGTTTCTCTATGATTGCAAGGATAAAAAATAGATTCCCACAAATTTCCATCAAATACGCTAATTCAATCATTTTTCTGCACATTAGATCATGAAAAAAGACGACTCAAGTCAATGATATCGATTACCTACTAATCATGCAGATTAAATTAACTTGATGGCAGGAAATTAAAAATCAAAGCTAGAATTTTATCAGATTGGAAAGTTTTTGACTTGATAGGAAAACAGATGAGTTCTGAGGATTAATCGTGCTCTAGATGCGATCATTTTAGCTTTGCTACTAATCATCTTCTGGCACCAAACCTTTACAAAATCCGAGTGGTTGCTAAAAGGAAGAATCATCGGTTTTCAAGATTTTGGTATAGCTCAATCATACAAGCCTTCTTGTTCCCAGACATCAACGAGAAAATCAACCATTTCCTACAAAAAAACAGCAACCAAACGTTGGTAAACAATTACAACTACTGCTTCTTTAGTCCTAATCAAATTGAGGTCTTCTTTATAAAGAGTAGGCATCCGCAACTACTAAAAATTACAGTTCGTAGCAATGTATATTATTCGGAATCCTTAGTTAAGGACATCAATAAATTTGATATGAGAAAGTTCAAATTATAACATTATACTATTGGAAGTGGCCTATTATAATTATACGGGGCAAACTAAACCAAAGATGAGACTATAGTTTTAAATAGGGGGAAAAATGAAATATACGGGAAAAAACAAATAACAGCTTATGTTAAGTACCGAGTATATACTTACAGGCAGAGGGATGGGTTGAGGAAAAGGCTTATTTGTCCCAAGCAGAGTCTCGTATGTAGCATTCCAACTGCACAGTACAGCATTTTGCTCAATTTCATAGGAGCAGCAGTAAAACAACCCAGCAGGGAGAAAAAGAGAGCATCAAACAAGATCAGAACTACTAGCCAATGGCTTATATATATTGACTAAACAATATAACAACAAAAGAAAAGAGCCTAAGCTCAATTGTCTCCAGGTAGTCAAAACACAAGACACAAATTTACCTACACTAGAGAACATCCTAGCATAACCTATCCGATCAACACACATAAGTCAACTACTTGTAGACAGACCTTTAGGATTGCAGCTTGAACACCTAAAATATTGAGAAGTGAAAGGAGTTAAACCTAAGCCCTAGAAGACTTTCTGTTAACGAGCCTAGAGCATGAAGTCTGGCAGATTGATTCCACTTCAACAGCTTCTTCAGTTATCACCAAAAAGATCTGTAAGCCAACTCATTCTACTCAGAGGGAATTCATAACGAGAGCACCCCCAAACAATTTTTTTTTCCCAAGGCTTTAGTTTTCCTATTTCTAACCAACAAACACAACAACCTATCATATATCATGTTTTGATAAATGATTCCTGAAAAACATCATCTGGAACACCCTTTGAATAAACCTCAAGTAACCTACTAACTCGAATTTTCATTCTGTGTAAATCAGGATTCAATCAGTGAAGTAATTAACCACATAGATTCTGCAGTTCAATAAATCTATGTTAGGCAACCTTAAGAAATACAAATTTCCATACCTTAATCTGGGTTCACGCATTTTTGGCTGGTTACGAGACTTTCTATCACCAACCCACTGCTGCCTCATTTGGTTCCAGAGAAGTAGGCCTGCATCCAACAGATTTTCAATCTACAAGTAAATCTAAATTTCTTGGATACTTCGTATAAGAATTCAGTCAAAGGGATATCTTTCAAATGATTATAATCCTATGCATAATCACATAGAAATGAAAGAAGAGAAAATAGTACTTTGAATAATTATTATAGCAGTCACACCCAATCATCAATTATTAATTAGTAGATCCACATACTCCAGCATAAACAACAGTAACAAAGAAAATAATAATAAAATAATAATTAAAAAAAGGAGACACATGCACAAACTGTTGCCTTTGAGGTCTGTTTCTCTGCCCAAATAACTGGATGAACTATAAATAGACATCTCCAAGAATCAGTATAACCACTTCCAAGTGTTACATGGTAATAATAATACATTATCCATTTCTTTTAGGCACTGGAGATGGGGAGGGGGAAATCCTGGTTAATTATAGGGAAAATTAAGCAGGAATACCAGCTGGGAGAGTTGGGTTGGAATAAAGAGGAAGGAAACTTGCCATTATTTACAAATTCAGAAGGATTGCTTGTGCTTCTACCGCCACCATGGGGATCAAGGTTCTGATTAGAGGCACTCATAGATGAAATGCTTCTCTGTGACTGAACTGCACTATTGTCCATTTCATACGAGCTGCTCCAAATTTCGACTGGTAAGCTTGATTTCTTTACGGATCGGCCTTGTATTTTCAATCCTTTTGATGGCTCATCCACAGCGATTATTAGTTGGGGCCTGGTACAGCATCCAAGACAACCACTGCTCTGTTGCAAAATCAGGCATTTTTAAAATGATTAGTACCACCCTCTCAACATTCAACCATAAATGATGGAGTTATATATAGACTACATCAACAAAACAATCTAAGCCTATGTTCCATATACACTCAAACCCATATTTTGCTGAGTTTTGAGGTAAAAAAAAAATGTTAATTTCTTCACGTTACAAGGGAAAAGTTCAACCATTCACATCACATTCTTAGAGCTATCTAATGCTTATGGCGATCACAGAGTAGTGAGCACTCAAAAACAATAACAATTTTCATGGGGGTGGGGGTGGGAGGTGAAAGTATTATTAAAATACTGCATATTGATCAATCATTATGAAATAACAATATCGATAAGAAGAAGCCTAAGAACACTTCCATAAACTATCACCAAAGCAAAGCTTTGGTTGCAGAATGATTTGGGGTTGGCTAACATGAATTGTCATATGGACTTGTCCACCCAAAAAAAAAAAACAAAAAAAAAGTGATACACCTCCTGTTTTTAAATACTTGCTTGTACAGGGGCAAGTGGAAGATTAAAAAGTTATAAAAAGCAAAAGTAGTTGAGAGAATTGGAAGAGACATAATATTATATAAATAAAATATGATTTATGTTGGGTCCACTAGTTCAGAGAATTGAATTAAATACTATAAAAGCTTTCCAAACAAGGAAATGGAGCATGTATCTAAAAACGTCCGAAAATAGAAAGTGAAGCAAGTATTTAAAAACGGCCGGAAATGAAAAGTGAAGCACGTATTTAAACACGGCCAGAAAAGGTAAACGTTAAACGTTAGTTATAAACGTTTTCCTTTTCTAGTCGTGTTGAAATAAATGAAACGTTTCCTTTTTTTTAAAAGTTATTTCTCTTTGTTATTTAATAATATTCTCTCTATTTTTTAATAACATTCTACAAACTAATGATTCTCACAAAATCCCTTACTCTTTTCTATCTCCTCAACTCATAACTAACCTTTAAAGTCCGTGAAAGTCAAAACGTTTCATTTATTTAAACATGGAGGGAGTATTACTAAAAGAGTGGAAGGGAACAAGCATATATTACATTAGAATAACTCAAGATGATATACAAAAAGCCTTCATATACATCGAAAATAATAAAAAGATGGGTTACTATTTTCATATGAAACATCATTGTCACTGACCACCACTATGCATTTACATAAGAAAAACCTGTTAGGAGCCTATTCTCATCCATGCTAGAATGTGCCTGTTGAAGCCGCATTAACAAATGATTCTTGTTGTACAACATATTCTAGAAAGACCTGTCAGCATAATGTACTAGTGTTGGGGGGCTGTTCCAAGCCAATGTTTACATACACATAACCCATGCTATCTTATGTTGTGAGCTCAGAGAAACCTATGAGAAAGCACCGAGCTACCGTTTTATGATCTGAAGAAAATACTATACAGCTATGCAAGCAAACAGATACACAAGTTTTGTGTATTCAACAGAGTGTTTAACCGGGTAAATTTTAGGGAGAATTCAAAAGAACAAACCCTTATATTTACTTACTGATCAAACTGATTAGTGATAATGAAATCTGATTTTGATTGATTACAATTGACTTTTACTTATTAAAACTGATCTTAAACCGAATCTAAATCTTATAAGGTGGGCAAAACAAATTATAAATAGCCAAATGGGCCAATTAAGCAAGTAGCATAAAACGTTGAAAACTTTTTAAGAAGATATGGACTATGAAGTAACTATCATAAAGGTCTCAATACACATAAAGTTTATATTATGCATAAATGAGCAGTACTAAGAGCAAATAACTCAGACATGGGTGAAGCTAAAATCAAAGGTTTGGAAGAGCATAACTCGATATATCAAAATAGCTACTATCCAATTTTCGGACTTCAATTTCGTTCTACACACAACAACAAATATGTCTACATCAATGTGTGCACAAGCTACTGTTGTCAAAAAGTACTCCCCAACTAAATTTTCTTCTAGCACTGCATGCTATACAAACATCAGAAACCAGAAAAGTTAAGCAGAGCTTAGCACCTTCAGCACCATAAAAAAGAGCAAGTAGTTATCTTATCCTACCACATACATATTATGCCTAATATCCAAACCGCTTTTCAAAACTTAACTACTAGCAGAAATTATATGAAACACTCAAGAGAAAAATTGGAAGCCCTTACATTGAAAAGGTTCCTGCAGACATTTTTTATCTTTTCGATCATGAGACAAGCAAGAGCGCCAAAATAAGCAAGGGAAAGTTGTAAAAATGAACAGCAACGCTTTCTCTCAACACAATTGTCGATTTCAATCATCAAACAACATCTTGAATTCATGTCTTGTGCCAATAGGCACACACAACAAAGAAATATAGAGTGGCAAAGAGTGTAAAGGAGAGAGAGAGAGAAAGGGGGCGCGAAAAATAGAATTAAGCTTCTCGAAATTTTAGAAACAACATATTCACAAGAAAAAGGCTAATGTCTCTCAATCATCTGTCACAAGTTACCTCACAAAACAAGGCAAGACTAGATTCCAATCCAAAGAGCAAGCAACTTCACTAATACTATTAAGGCATCTTTTTAAAACAAGGTAAAGAGAACAACAACATTGTTTCCACAAAAATACTAATAAAGGGTACACAGCTGTAGCTTACTACAGTTGAACGAATGGTTTATGAGCTGTAGTATCTTAAACAGAACTAAATTTAGAAACTTTTTTAAACTTGTTACTCTTAACACTTATTAAGTACCCTAACCCCGAAAAAATCTAGACAACACTATAAATGGGGCACAACTAAGGCAGGTTTATTTGAAGTCAAAAGGTATAGATGGCCTCCATAGCAAATCTTCTACTCCACAGTACGTAGTACAGTACTAGTTATGGAGTATAAACATCGCCACGGCAGTGATGTACACGAGATTCGATCCAAGGTCCGTGTAATACTCTCAAACTATAACCAACTAAGCTAATTGACATCCGACCCCACCAAATAGTAATGATAAAAATCAAGAAACAGTCAATAAGTTCAACTAAATTGAATCCTTCATTTTATCCAACGACTCAACAAATAATCATACCAATTCAATTTACATAAAGAATTAGAACAATCAACCAAAAGGGTATTAGATTGGAATTTTAAAAAAAAGAACAGTAAATGATTCCAATTCTTTGACAAATTAAAATTGAGGGAAGAGTGACTCACCCCATGCATGCAAATATGTGAGAAATCCAAGAATCCAAGCAGAAATTGTTGATTACTAAGTAGCATTTACTGGAATGGTCACACCCAGATACTTCAATTTGCTATTTTGAAGAGATCACCGATTCACCATACTTCATATAAACTAAACCCCAAAAAAAATACCCAAAAAAAAAATTATTAAAAAAAACCCCAAATGTAGAAATCAGTGAACTCAATTGAAGAAAATAGCGAAAGATTAAGTTTAGGAGAGAGAATGAAATACCTGATAATTGCGAGCTACTTCAACCTTCAAGAAACAATATTGAGTAGTTTTTTTTTTTTAATCAGGGTTTTTCTATTGACTTTATTTTTTTGGTAATTTAAAATTCAATTATTGGAAAGTGAAAAAGGAGGAAGAAGAATAAAGTTTTGTAAAGAATATATATATGTGTATATATATATATATTTTTTTTTTTAAGAATTGAATTTATATAATTATGCTAGTTGCTGATATTTTTCAGTTTTCAGTTATGGATAATAAGGAGAGTAGGAAGAGGGGAGGTTGGCCATTTAAAAAGGGTAGATGGAAATTGGAAAATTACACCTTGTCAGTCTGTCAGTGGATGATTCAAGATCTTTGAAATTTTGATTTTGAAAAAAAAAATTATTATACTAAGGGTCTATTCTCTTCTGTTGAAATTTAGTTCAGTTCAGTTCAGCTCTGCTCTTAATTTACATTTAATGATATTGCTAATGATATAAAGTCAAATTTCATTCTTTTAAGCTCTTATTACAACGACAACAACAACAACAACAACAACAACAACAACAATAATAATAATAATAATCAATAAGTAATAAATAATAATAATAATAATCAATAAATAATAATAATAATAATAATAATAATAATAATCAATAAATAATAATAATAATAATAATAATAATAACAATAATAATTGAAATAATAATAATAATAATAACAATAATAATTGAAATAATAATACTAATAATAATAATCAATAAATAATAATAATAATCATCAATAAATAATAATAATAATACTAATAATAAAATCAATAAATAATAATAATAATAAACAATAATTAATAATAATAATAATAATATTAATAATAACATGTACATTTGTATATACACATATGTATAGTAATAAATAATCAATAAATAATCAAAGATCACTAATCCGTAGTTAAAAATCACTAATTAATAAGTTCAGTTCAGTTCAGTCCAGCTCAGTTCAGTTCAGTTCAGCTCAGCTCAACTCAGCTGAGTTCAATCAATCGGAACAGGCCCTAAATTTTTGAAAATTGAATACATATTACAGATAAGAATGTGTGAATAAGGGTGGGATATACTGATTTACGGAGTAAATTAATTTTATATACAAATACCTATATATAAAAGTGAGTACGAAGTATTTTTCTTCGAGAAAAATCAAGTTAATATTAAGTAGCACGAGCTTAACTAAACTTTATTAGTTTCTTCTTGAATAAAAATAAATAAATAAATAAATAAAAAAAACATGTTTTTAGAGACAATCACTCTCACAAGTCATAAGAGTCACAACTATAGTTAGAAATTGTGAGAGTGATTTCAAATTTTCCAATTTGAATAGATGGAACCTAGTAGATAAGAGCACTCCAATCACATTGTTTCCTGTTAATAGAGCATTGTTAACGACAATTTGACAATCACTTATGTTTTGGATGATAGGGGATAAATATTTACGGAGTAATTATTTTACTTTCAAGATAAGGATGACAAAGTTGACAAGGATGACATTTTTGTAGAGACAAAGTCACAACTCACAAGAGTTCTAAGTGACATTCATACCTTAAAAAACTTATCTTAACTAATTTATAGTCATTTGTCAATGATATTATCAAACTTATCTCATTTTAGAAGAATTCAAATTCGATTTGTTTTCTAGAAAATACTCCGTACTTCAGATAGATAAAATGAAATGGATTGTTTCCAGAAGCAAATTCCATACATTATACATGAAAGACAAGTAATGGTAATGCTGCTGTCTTAAAAGAATGTTTATGAACATTGTGTTCTGGTTAAATACATCAATTCTTCTATTGTCTTGCCTAGGCTATTAATCATTCACCTTTGTTAATTGCTATGCTTATGTACAGAACAACAAAATCCCTGAACTTTTGGTCTTCCTTCGCATTCCGCAGCTCTGATCTTAAACATATCAGCTTATGCTTCAGTTGCTCAATGACAGATGCTTCTGCAAGAGAGTGCAGCAACAAGGAAAAAATTATTAGTGAAACATGATATGACTTATACCGGGTATACTCTACTGCTACACCTTCAAATGAGGATCATCCTAAAAAAAGAGCTGAGATCACTTTAAGAGTTTAAGTGATTCATTATTTTTTCTGAAATGTCAATAATCAACAGGTTCAAAGAATAAATGCGATTACTTACCCTTTTGTCTTGTAAGTCTTGTATTGAAATATCAATGTTCCTAAGTAGTAAGTATAGGAGGCAGCAGATCGGACTTAGTCCCGAGAATAGGAGCAATGGTGTCAGGGAAGAACTTTTCATCTTCAGAAAGCAGGGTAACATGTCCAAAACTTGTGACTTCGATGGGATATCGAAGGAGGTGGCCAGGCAAGTCTTGATCGAAAGTTTCACTAGAATATATTTTCCAATATTTTTCAGCAAGACTGTTCACAACTTGCATGCATTCCAGTGTCTCGGGATACAGAAATGATACATCCATATGGTGAAGGTGCTCATACCACAGTGCCATTCTAAAGCCATATATATGCGCCTTTGCTGGCTGCCCTGCAGATAAATGATACGGCTGGTAGGCTCCCATTGCTATCTCTGTGTCTCTTCCCCCATCCATTGACCGCTGGTTTATATTTGCAGACCCAATAATGATGTATTCATCATCAACTGAAATGCAAGATATATAAACAATATTACTGCAGAAAGAATCAAAGCAATTGAGGGATAAACCAAGATGTTAGGCTAGAAAGAAGAGGTTAGGAGCTTTGTCTTTTTAAGGCTATATTGCATTCAATTTATCGTCTGTTTATTGGCAAATTGCTGGCTTCTTCTTCATTTGTGTCAAAAAAAAAAAAAATGAATGTCATTTCAACACATCTCCTACTCCAAAAGGCAGCTAAAAGAGATCAAAGAAGGGAAACACATAATTTCCAGCAAAAAGAGATAACGAATTATTAGTAAAACCAAATAAAATTTACAAGGAAAAAGTTAAAGAGACCGAACAGACCATATAATGATTGTTGGTGAGCACAAAATACCTATCATCATTTTAGCATGAACATATATCATGAAACGTCGATTGTGTTGAGCTTTGTCATATGTAGAACCAGGCACTGGCTTCTCTGCAGGCTGATCTTCCCCAGTTTTCAAAACCTCCCGATTACCAAGACAGAAAAATGATAAATAATCTCTTGGGTGTGCGTTGAGATTCATGCGTTGTATGGCATTGGCAATATCAGTATACATCATTTCCATTGTCCTCCTCTGCCAATATAGTATTGCCTGGACAGGACCACTTTCAGGCTGTCCTTCAGGCCACATAGGTATTACAACATACACAGAAAATCTCTCTCCAGCTTCAATCTTACTGATGATCTTCAATGACAGCTCTTTCGGTATGATATGCAAGGCATCAATATCTTCCTCAGGTTTCCATGCATACGAACTTCCAAGAAAGTATTGGTTTTCAATGTATATAAAGTTCTTTGCTCGTCTGATGGCATTTATGTATCCATCTTGAATGCTACGATCTATGATACTGCCTCTATCACAGTAAAGGCCAACCTGAAGTGCCTTATTTGGGTCTGATGGGAAGCCTACCCCTGGTTCTCCATCAAGTACCACCGAACCTCCATCAATGGATCGGAATATCTGAACATTCCAAGATTCTTGTTCTTCTGCTGCTGTCATTACTTCAAAAGGTTTGGTTATTCTTTCCTTAAGCTCATCTAGTGAATATAGGAAATGCTTTCCCACTTGCTTAGTCCATCTTTGCTCAAAGTTATAAAGCACATCCCAAGCGACAGGTCCTTCTAGCCGGCAATGGATATCATGCCATGGTTCCCTCGGACCACCTTTTTGTATAGAAGCTCCTGGAAAATTAGGCTGATGGAAATCATCCTTGTGAATTGTTTTTAACGTCCTAAAAAGAGAATGATCTTCTGTATCATATCTTCCATCACAAAGATCAATACCTCCTAAGAAACTCACAATTATCCTCTTTAGTGATCCAGGGCTCTCACAGTCAACCACTACTGTCTTCTGATGGTGTGTAAGCATAGCATCAACCTGAACACCCCGTATCGTGCTTAATCCTTGGCCAGCCTTCCGAGGACACTTAACACACCGTACATTTGTATTCTGAAAGTAAGCAAAGGTGTCTTCATCATGGGTTCCCATTAATCCTTGCCTATTATACGGCTCTGAAGTTATATCATCCCAAACAAGTATGAGAACTCTCATGTCTCTCTCTTTAGCTTTCTCCTTGAGAAGCTCTCCTAAAGAAAGATGAGCAAGATCCCCTACCGCCTTTTGCCTACGAGGATCCCTTATTAAGGTGATCTTTGTGTTAACAGACCAGCCAGCTATGTAAATCAGGTATTTTGCATTAACAATGGCATCAAATATATCTTCCCAGCATCGCCGTGACTCATAATTCTTACCTCCATGAAGCATTATGGAAGGGGTAAAACTGTCAGACACATGTGCATCTTGATAGAGAAAGACTTTGCAACCTTGTCTCTGTCTAAAGAATGTGGAAGGGACTCCTCCATACTGTGGATTTTGGATGCCCTGAGACCAGTATGGATCTCGAGTTACATCCAAAAATCGTACACTGACATGAATTTGTGATCGTATGGAGTTGCCACTCTCATCCAATATTTCAAGCCATCTGTCTATTGGACGACCTGAAATGACTTCTCTAACAGGTAAAGAAGCTCTTCCAATCAGAGTTGCACTAACAGGATTTTCGTCCTTGACAGTAAATGTAATTTTCGACACCTCATGAGCACAATAGACACGAAATTTTTGAGACCAACGAGGCCTTGAAGGGTGGGTAGTAATGATTTTTGTCCGTGCAACTCTTGCTTTATCCAGATCAATTGTGGCATACAGTCTGAAACCTGCAAGCTGAGGACTGCACGCGCAATATCCTTTGATTCTGTACAATAATGTTCTCCATACCCTTCTTGGATCATCAATACTCTATTTTCCTCCAAGCAAAAAAAAAAAAAAATAAGAGGCAGCTAAGTCATTTTTTATGTCTGATTTCATGACAACAAAATGCAGAATCATGATGGTAAACTATGTTTGTGCTACACGTGAAGTAACATGTATTGGAAGATTTATTTTCATCATTTTGCATTATTCTTGAAAACACCAATGCTTTGTTGATCAAAGAAAATGAATTATAAGATCAGAACTATGGATGATTTAACCTCATAACTTGGTATTATACTATTATGTTTCTTCTAAGGCAAAGTAGCTTGAAAACTCATGATAAATGGAATTACATTTTTTTTTTTGTATCTTTATCACAAAATTTAAGGTCTATGTAACAAAATTCCTCCAAAGCTATGGAAGTTATTTACCAAGAAGGGCATAGGTAATTTGCACTCCCATAGTCCCATAGTTCTCTTATATGTTCCATTGCCCGAGGGGCCGAGGATGATTAACCATAATAAATATTGGACTTCCATAAATCCCATATCAAGGACGATTTAAATGATTTAGGTAGGTTTTAGAAAACCCTGAAAAAACAGGGATACTGCTTTGTTATTTGAGATAATATATCATAAGCCTTTTTGTCCTTGAATAAGCAATTCCACCATAATTAGCCCACTTAAGCCTCCCCTAATCAACTTTCGTAAGGATTAATTACAGGGTTTACAAGACAAATTAGATATGTAGTATGTTAAAATTTCATTCATCTATACAAATACTTGTACAATATTTCATACAGAGTAACAGGATAATTTGCAAGAAATTTATAGTACCAAGTGTCCCTCTTTAAAAACTGTGTCATACAGGTTAAAACTATGATAGAAATTAAAATGAAGGTTACAAAAGACAACCAATAATGACATAATAGATGCAAACCTATTACTCTTCAAGCAATCAACTACTCTTTTAGTTCGGAATTAATAGTCATGTAACTCATGGTTCAATTGTGTAACATAACATAAACTAGTTCAGAATTACTCGTAATAGTCACGTAACTCATGGTTCAATAGTGTAACATAACATAAAATGATACCGCGACAACTAAAATTGAAGGAAGGTTGTAATAACTTAGAATAGCTAGCTGATTAACTAACCTGTTTCAAAAGGGGTAATCCACAACCCAAATGCAGCTTATCAATTTCATGTATTTCGGCAAAAAGCACCCCATGAAGCAATGTGGGCCTTTGATTCATTCCTCAGAAAAATCAATGAAACCCTGCAAATTCAAGAAACGATCAAATTAATCACCCCAACAAGAAAAACCCAGAAAGTTATAAACGCTAAAATAAAATTAGCAACCTTTTCTCAAAAGGGAATTGAAAATTCTGAACAGTTGAAATTGCAGAAAAGTTAAATGCCCAGAAAAATTGGTAGATTTGAACAGTATAAATCAGGTGGATTTTTTTGCAGGAGATCTCCATGAATAAGCCAAGTTTGTGTAAAGCAATGGATATCTTGAGATGATGATTCTTCATTCTTTCCTCGTTCGCAAGATTCTCTTTAAAAATTCAGAAATTTTTTGTTCTCAACTCTCCTTTCAAGTTTTCTTGTATCGCATTTGGGCAAAGATTAAACTATATTGGTACAGTCTCCACTACTCCGTAACATAAAACATGAAAGCCTTGATAACCGCGGACCCGCTCTAATTTGTTATAGACACGCCCGGGTGTGTATATAACAACCTCTCCGGATCTGTAGTGGTAATCAAAAATCGACTTGACCTGAAATAAAACATAGCTCATGCCCACCCTCATAGTAAAGTTATAAAAAAATCAAATTGAACCAAAATTTTAAAACGAAGCCTCATAATAAAGTAATCAAAAATCGACTTATTCTGAAATAAAATGTAGCCCATGCCCATCCGGCTTAACATAAGAAAGTTCGAACCCAAATTCAAAATGTAAATAATCAAAATCAAGAACTAGTTCGACCTAAATATTTTATATGGAAACAAGATTTGTACTGATCTCATTGATTAAACATAAAAATTTTTAATCTCATACTTGTATTTTGTGTATAATCCAACAATAGAAGATAAATTAATATTTTGGGTATAATCCATGTTGTAATTTATGCAAATTGGAGAAATTTGGGCCAGAGTATAATTGCCTAATTGGGCTGTTTCTCTTTCTAATTTCCCAAAAAGTAATTGGGCCAGAGTATAGTCCAACTTTTGGGAGTTAGGTCACTAAGACAGCCGAAACCTCCAAAATTTCTTAAAAAGTGTGGATATTATCCTTTAATTTTGGAATTTTTTTGACTTTTTTTCACCCGAATATAAAAATTGTCGAAATGTTTAACATGGTCTTTAATACCCTCCGAGAGTCCAATTGGGTGGGTGGAACCAATTTGCCTTTAAATGACCAATTGCGCCGATTTCATTAACTCAAGTCTACCACAAACATTTATGACAACATATAATGATCATATATGGTTCCAAACGGCAATAGATGACTCCGAACTGTATCCCCGATAATCTAAAGGCTTTTCGACACCTGACCTCAAAACCTCACAATTTTCTCAAAAAAACATGTATATTAGCCTTCAATTTTGAATTTTTTTTACTTTTTTTCACCCGAAAATAAAAATTGAAAAAATATTTACCGTGGTCCTTAACACCCTCCGGGAGTCCAATTGGGTGGGTGGAACCATCCTATTTGCCTTTAAACGGCCAATTTACCGGTTGACAACTTGCACAGATTTCATTAATTCAAGCCTACCACGAACATTTATGACAACATATAATGATCATATTTGGTTCCAAACGGTATTATATGACCCCGAGATGTATCCCCTAAAATCTCAAGCCTTTTCGACGTTCGGCCTCGAAACTCCAAAAATTTCTCAAAAAGCGTGGATATTAGCCTTTAATTTTGGAATTTTTTGACTTCTTTCGCCCGAAAATAAAAATTTTCGAAATGTTTACCATGGTCCCTAATACCCTCCGGGAGTCCAATTGGGTGGGTGAAATCATCCAATTTTCCTTTAAACGACCAATTAACCGGTTTACAACTTGCACCGATTTCTTTAACTCAAGACTACCACGAACATTTATGACAACATATAATGATCATTTATGGTTCCAAACAGCATTATATGACCACGAAATGTATCCCCTAAAATCTTTTTTATCTTCGACACCGGGTCCCGAAACCTTCGAAAAATTATGAATATTAGCCTTCAATTTTGGAATTTTTTTGACTTTTTTGGCACAAAAATAAAAATTGCCGAAATTTTTACCATGGTCCCTAATACCCCCTAGAAGTCCAGTTGGGTGAGTGGAACCATCTAATTTTCCTTTAAACGACCAATTTACCGGTTTACAACTTGCACTGATTTCATTAACTCAAGCCTACCACGAACATTTATGAAAACAAATAATGATCATACATGGGTCCAAACGATATTATATGACCACTAGATATATCCCCTACAATTTAAAGCGTTTTCGACACCAGGCCTCGAAACCCCAAAATTTCACAAAAAGTGTGGATATTAGCCTTTAATTTTGGAATTGATTGATTTTTTTTTCCCGAGAATAAAAATTGCTGAAATATTTACTATGATCCCTAATACCCTCTGGGAGTCCAGTTAGGTGGGTGGAACCATCCAATTTGCCTTTAAACGACAAATTTACCGATTTACAACTTGCACCAATTTCATTATTCAAGCCTACCACGAACATTTATGTCAACATATAATGATCATATATGGTTCCAAACGGCATTATATGACCCCGAGATGTATCCAATAAAATCTCAAGCCTTTTCGACACCGGGCCCCGAAACTTCAAAAATTTCTCAAAAAATGTGTATATTAGCTTTTAATTATTGAATTTTTGTCTTTTCCGTCCGGAAATAAAAATTCCCGAAATGTTTACCATAGTCCCTAATACCCTCTAGGAGTCCAAGTGGGTGGGTGGAACCATCCAATTTGCCTTTAAATGACTAATTTATCGATTTACAACTTGTACCGATTTCATTAATTCAAGCCTACTACGTACATTTACGACAACATATAATGATCATATATGGTTCCAAACGACATTATATGACTCTGAGATGTATCCCCTAAAATCTCATTGCTTTTCGACACCGGACTCCGAAACCTCCAAAATTTTTTTTAAAAAACGTGGATATTAGCCTTCAATTTTGGAATTTTTTGACTTTTTTTCGCCTGAAACGTTTACCATGGTCCTTAATACCCTCCGAGAGTCCAATTGGGTGGGTGGAACCATTCAGTTTGCCTTTAAACGACCAATTTACCGGTTTACAACTTGCACCAATTTCATTAATTCAAGTCACCACGAACATTTATGACAACAAATAATGATCATATATGGTTCCAAATGGCATTATATGACCCCGAAATATATCCCGTACAATTTCAAGACTTTTCGACACCGGGCCCCGAAACCTCCAAAATTTCTCAAAAAGCATGGAATCATCCAATTTGTTTTTAAATGGCCAATTTACCGGTTTAAAACTTGCACCGATTTACCGTTTTACAACGGCCAATTTAATTAACTTGCACCGAACCCGACTTGAACCGAAATTAACCCAAACCCGTTTTAACCTATCAAAACCCGAATTTAACCCGACTTGTTACTAACCTGACCAGAATTCAACCCGACCCGTTCCTAACACACCCGAATTTAACCTAAACTATAACAAACCCGACCCGAAATCAACCCGACTTGTTATTGACCTGACCCGAATTCAACCTGAATTGTTACCTACCCGAATTTTACCAGACCTATTACTTACCCGATCAAAAAATTCAACCTGATCTGTTACTAACCCGACTCGAAATTAACACGACTTTGTTATTGACTAGACCTAAATTCAACCCAAATTGTTCCTGACCTGATTTCAAATCACCTTAAATGCAATTTAGACCACCTTATTATTGTTTATCAAAGTATTTTTTCTAGGGAGACCAAGTCGGTCCAGGCCAGCAAAAGAAAGGAGCATTAGATCATCCTCAAATTTAAGAGGTAAATATAGTGTATATTTATTGTATGGTCAAAGGAGATAATTATCTTTTCTTTTTTTTTTTTTTTTTTTTTTTTTTTTTTTTTTTAAGACAGATAATTATCTTCTTAAATTATAGAATATAGTTCCCTAGTATATTGTCATATATATTATAGTCAAAGGAAATAATTAGCTTGATAAAAATGATAATTATCTATTTATAGTTAGTCGAATCCGAATACGACCTGACTTGGAAATGACCCGACCTGATTGTAACCTGCAAATTATTGACTTGAACATAACCCGACTTTAATCCGAGAATGACCCCCTTGGAAATGACCCAACTTGATTATAACCCGCAAATTATTGACTTGAACCTTACCCGACTTGAACCTGAGAATGACCCGACTTGAAAATAACCCGACCTGATCATAATCCGTAAATTATTGATTTGAACTGAACCCGGCTCAAACCCAAGAATGACCCGACCTGATTCTAACCCGCAAATTATTGACTTGAATCGAACCCGAGAATCACCCTAACCCGTTTTAACCCGTGAAAACCCGAATTAAACCCGACCTATTGTTCACCCGACCTGTTATTAACTCGACCTAAACCAGAACCAAACCCGATAAAGAAGTATGATCCGACGTGACCCGACTCAAGCATGACCAAACCTAAACCCGACCCGCATAGGTTATGAAATTAATCCGAATTGACCCGACCCGAGTTGACTTGCCCATTCTTACCCGACTCGTTTACCCGAATTGACAACTCTACTAAGACTTGCTAATAATTAACTTTTTAATCAAATTTTTGTTGCTTACAAGTTTTAATGTGGTTATTTAAATAATTCTTTCTACTCGGTATTCATTGTTCAAAATTTTTGTTCACTAGTAATTTCATCAAACAAGCAGAGTTATCTTAAAATTAGAATTTCATTTGCAAAATTGTTTATTTACCATGTAATTGCATAACACATTAGTTTTGATTATTTTTTAATGAGTTTATTCATTAATGTTGCTTTATGCCTCTATATATTGGAAAAATGACCTAATCATTCATTAAAGCTACTAGAACAGTTTTTTTTTTTTTTTTTTTTTTTTTTTATCTCTGCTTATTCTCTTGTGGTGGATCTGATTATTATGCGCAAATGGCAGTGAAGCAATTAATTTAGGGTGATCGATCGAGTAACGTGTTATGTAAATTTTGAATGCCAAAAAACACCAAACAAAAGTTCAAAACGAATTTATGCAATTCTAAAATAAGAAGGGATTAGATGACTTAAAGTCTTCACTTCACATTGTGCTTAGATCTAAATTGTGACTTAATGAAGACATAATTATATGTTCTGCTAACTACTCCTAATTAATTATATTAATATTCATTAAGGAGAATGTAGATGATGGATCTCTCTCACCCGCTAAATTAGTAGTCATCATCACATTTTGCATAATGTACGGTGGACAATTAATTTTTCCTCAATATTGCATGCTTAATTAGCTTAATAATTTTCCTAAAAGCTACAGTACAACTTATATATACACACCTATACTTTGATGATTTTTTTTTAATTTTTTTTTATTATATACACACCTATACTTTGATGAATTTTTTGTTTTTATTTTTATTTTTTATATACACACCTATACTTTGATGATTTTTTTTTTTATTAAAAAAAAAGGAAAATGTTAAACATAGCCCTTAGGGCTACATATAGGCATTAAATTTACACTTGAAAATCGTAAAAGTTAAGAAATCATAAAAATATAAACACTAGTTACACTGATTTACGTGTGTTTTTGTCATGAATTCCTAATTTAATACAATTTTCAAGAGTGTATTTAATGCTTATATATAACCCTTAGGGCTACATATAACAATACC